TGTTACTCATTCGGCTTTGTTTGATAAGACATTGATTGTTTTCCAAGAATCCTATACTCTAAGGGCCTGTTTGTTTCACCAATTTTATGGAATAGGAATGGTATTTGGACCTGACAATGGCGTTTTCGTAATTAATGGATTCCAAATGAATCCTAATCCTGAGTTTGGTTCAAAAAAAATTTATAGAATTGCTAATCTATAAAGTGGCTCAAACAGTGTATATTTCAGGAAATCCAAATCCAGTTCATTTGCTAGGAATTGGGTGGAATTTCTGACACCTCTCCTCTTTTTTATTCTGATTCCTAATCCTATTCCTAATCCTTTGGGTGAAACAAACATAGAATACAAAAAAAAATAGGATTCCATAAAACTAAAACTTGTCTATAAATTTTTTATGGATTAGGTTGGAATCCATAAATAAAATAGGATTCCTAATCCTATTCCTACCCTCTATTGAACCAAACAGGCCCTAAGATTTAGATTTGGACTAGAATATTTTGATTAGAGTTCGAGAGTTTTTGGAAGGATTTTTAAACTTTGGATGGATTCTTGGACTATGTGTAAAATAGCCTTTAACAAACATATTAAAGCTCCAAATGATTAAATAATATAAAATATTAAACGAACTATTTAACTTTTTTAAATTATTGAATATATTAAAGATCTGATTAAAAAGTATTTAAAATATATATATATATATATATATATATTATATAATATATATATAATATATATAGTATATATATATATATAATAATATATATGAGATTAATGGGTATCCTTGTCATAGGAGAGGATTTTCCTCCTTGTCGCCTATGTGGCACAATCCTCACCATCCTCATAAAGTAGACACAAATCCCACCAACTCCACATCTCTTCTCCTACCTTATGAGGATGGTGTGGATTGTGCCACCTAGGCGTCAAGGAGGAAATCCCCTCCTATGACAAGGATACCCATTAATCTCTCTCTCTCTCTCTCTCTCTCTCTCTCTCTATATATATATATATATTATATATATATATATATATATATATATAATCTAGGTGACTCCCTAGTGCAGCGCACAGGCATTGCGCGATCTGAGCCATAAATTCAAAAACCACAAAATAATCTAAAGCCATTGGATTCAAATAAGAATTCCCCAAAAAGGAAAAACAAATTCCAAAAAAAGGCCTTATTCTTCACTGTGTCCCTCAATATCGCGTTCAGAACATGGAAAAAATCACGATCACCTCCTTCAAAAAATTCAGCACGGTCGCCTCCGTCTCCTTCGCATGGTAGCGCTTGATTTTGAAGGATGTGACGGCCGTGAATTTTTGAAGGAGGTGATCGGTGATTTTTTTTTGCCAGTTCAAACCGCGATATTGAGGCGGACCACGTGAGAATAGCGGCTTTTTTGGGGATTGCTATTTAAATCAAGCGCGCTTAGATTATTTTGGTTGTTTGAATCAATGCGCAGATCGCGCCATCCTTAGGCTCACCTAGGGTCACCTTAGATTCACTTTACGCCATATATATATATTATATTATTAATATATATACGATATATATATATATATATTAATATATATATACTAAGAGTATATATATATATATTATATATATATATATATATATATATATATATATATATATATATATATATATATATATATAGAGAGAGAGAGAGAGAGAGAGAGAGAGAGTGAGTGAGAGAGAGAGAGAGAAGTGTTCCTAAGGTGACACCTTAGATAATTATCTAAGGACGCGGCCTAAAATCACATGATTGAACTACATTGTGGATGATCCGTTCCGTTGAACTTGATCTACATATTCTAAAACCCTAACACATCAAGTTTGGGGTGAACCCATCGTTGTTTGATCCTCCGTCAAGCCATGTGAAAAGTTCTATTCATTCAAAACCGTTAAAATTGATACGAGTAGATGAAGGGTCAAACGACGACGGGTTCATCCCAAACTTTGTGTGTTGGGGTTTTAAAATATGTAAATCAATTTCAACGGAGCGGATCATCCATAATGTAGCTCAACCATATGATTTTAGGCCGCGTCCTTAGATGATTATCTAAGGCGTCACCTTAGGAACACTTCTCCTATATATATATATAGGGAAAAGTGAATCTAAGGTGACACCCTAGGCTCCCGCCTAAGGATGCAGCCTAGAATCACATCATTTCCTAAATTTTTTTTGCGATCCGCTCCATTGAACTTGATCTACACGTTCTTAAACTCAAACACACCAATTTTGGGGTGAACCCATTGTGTTTTGACCATTTATCCACTCGCTGCAATTTTAACGGTTTCGAATGAATAGAACTTTTTGCACTACTCAACGAATGGTCAAAACACAACGGGTTCACCCCAAAATTAGTGTGTTTGGGTTTAAGAACATGTAGATCAAGTTCAATGGAGCGGATCACAAAAAAAAAATAGAAAATAATGTGATTCTAGAACAATACGAGAAATTCACTATGTATCAGAAAGAGCTGCAAGAGGAACCACTCAACTCTTATATCACAATCTCTCAACCTCACATCATAATCAACTATCATTTTCTCTCAAAAACTCACTCGTTACAATCTTTTGAATGGAGAGTGTGAAACCCTCTTCTAGTGTTGTAATCTTTTGTACGGACAAAGACTACGATATCATCGTCTCTCGTATAATATTCTTGAATCAGCCTATGTCTTCTGCTTACCCTAAATCATAAGAATATTTGCTCTCTATCATCTCATTGAATTTTCCTCCAACAATAGAAGAATATATATAGGGAAATCAAAACATTATCTTTAGTCTAACTTCCTGATTAGAATAGGACTCAAACTCTGTATCATGATGAGACTCTATCTTTTAATCATGATAGATCTCTAACACTATTTAATTCTTATGAAGTTATATAAAGAATCAAGTACACAATCCCAATAATTAACTCTAAAAAATTATATTATTGTTAAATGGGCATGTAGCAAGTGTGTTGCATATGCTCTTTTGATTATTGAAATATTGAAGGGAGTACCTCTTACACTCGGACAAGTTATTACAAATTAAACAAATCATGTGATCACCAAAAGCAATCATTGATTTGGACTCGAACAATTGTCCATGAATCCGATATTCCTAGAGAGGGATGTGTACTGTGATTTTATGGTTAGAGCATCGGGCTCTTAGATTGAATTTTAATTTTTGTGAGTAGAATTCTTAAACTTTTGGTTTGGACTCTTAGACACTTACTTTGGATTCGTAGATTGAGGGTCAGATTCTCAAACTAAATTTTAGATTCGTACATAATATGCATTAAGAGTTTCAAATTAAATTATTACGCTAAATAATAATCATGAACAAAAATAAATGTTACTTTGAAAAATCATCCTCATTTCGATTAATGGATGACAACAATAAAACTGAATAAATCTTCTAATGCATTTAAACAGTTCAAAAGAAATGTATGTAATATAATATTAAATGTTTAACATATTATATATTTAAGAAATGTAAAATCATAAACATGTCTAATTTAATATTAAATATTAAATATATTAACTGATTAATTTCATTTTAAATAAATTAATAAAATTATAGAAGTTGATTAAAAACATTTTAAAATTATATACATTCAATGTTAATATATAAATATATGTAAAGAATATTATTAATGTATTTAAAATTTAATTGTACAATATGAAATATGTTAAATAACTAAAAATAATCAAGTCATTTAATATTTAATATTTTCTTAGTTAATTTTAAATATTACTTATATACATATTTATTATTATCTAAAATATATAATATTAATATTAAATGATTTTTAATAGTTAATATATGCTAAATAATAAATTTGGTTAATATTTAAACTGAATATATTGGATTTAACATATTAAAATACTAATAAAAATGATTAGATATTAAAAATATTTTATTGTATAAAAATTAAATATATTTTATTTTATGTATGAAATATATTTAAATATTTAATTTAAAATAGTTAAAAATGAATATATTTTATATTTTATTAAATAACTATATAACTAATATTAATATTTAATATTAACTATAAATGTTTTGTAAAGAGTTTTGCTACAGGGACCCAAAATATGGGACCAATAAAGAGGACAAGTGATGTGTCCCCCCTCCTATTGGATAATGAGTTGAATGAGTTGGCCATCATTAATGATGGCCAACTCATTATCCAATAGGAGGGGGACACCTCACTTGTCTCACTTATTGGTCCCATATTTTGGGTCCTTAAAGAGTTTTTCTTTTGTAAATTTTAGTATTAGTGTGTTTTTTTTTTGTTAATATGGGCTCATCAAAGGAAGGGGAAAAGAAAATCTAAGGAGGAAGACCACTATTCACTAACTTTTACTTGAATTAAAAAAAATCTCACTAAAATGTATAGAGAAGGATTGGGATTTGAATTTTAAAATCTTATTCCTAATCTAATTCTAAATAACCAGTAGCATCAAAATTAAATCCAAATTTATAGTTCTAAACAAATAACATTTTAAAGTTAAAATTTAAACTCTAGTTATAAACCATTAACACCTTAAAGTTAAGTTGTAGAGAAACTCTTCCCCCCAACCCCGACCCACCACCGATTAGTTAATTCATCCAGAGGCGGCGGACACGTCTCCTTCTCAATAATTGGTGTTAGATAATCCACGGAGCGGGGGTAGGAGATTAATTAGGAGAAATAGGGGAGATAGGGGAGCAGCCAATAATAATAGAGACGGAGTAGGCAGGGTGTGGGACCCTATTCCCAAAACAACTAGCAAATTTCCTCTCCACTTCCTTTTTGGCTTTGGACCACCCCCGGCCTCCAATAAAATCCAGAGGATTCTTCCTCGTTGATGGCACAATCTAGCGGCTAATTACTTGCTTCCTTTCTGTCACACGATGATCCCCCTTGATTAACTTGCGATGTGATTCACCTGCACAGATTAGTTGGTATCCCTTTCTCTCAAAACAAAAACAAAGGGTAATTGTTATGCCAGCTGATGCTCCTTCCAATAATACCTGCTGTGCCTTTAAGCTTTCCCCGCCGAAGATATTTCCGATATCGCCGCTTGAGGGTAACTAATTTAACTAGCTACTCCCGATTAGGGGTAGGTTATGGCACCCCTTCAGCCTTCAGCCTGGCCACAGAATTCAAGGAACCACCGGCATGGTCTGCAGCATGAAGGAGGATTGATAGGTGGATGGAAGAATTCAGGCGGCTGCAGCCGCAATAGTAATCGAGGTGCTGCTGCAGCACCGGGGAGGTCATCATCCTTCCATGGGAGGACAACAACCACAACGACGGCCGACCTTCAGAAAGAGATCATGCGGAGGCCCAAAACGCAGCCGGACTTGCTTGCTGGCATCGGTGGATCTGCAGCCAGGAAGTTGGTGGCCGGAGAGTGCCTTGGAAGGTATTGGTGAACGTGAATATACAGAGGAGCCTTGGACCGGTGCAGGTGATGGCATCTACTGACTGGACTGTCCACCAACTCATCGCGGCTGCTATCAAACAGTACCTCAAGGAAGGGAGGCGCCCCCTGCTGCCAACAACTGACCCCTCCGCCTTTGGTCTTCACTACTCTCAGTTCAGCTTTGAATGTAAGCAATTAAGTCAGCCTAGCTTCTGTAATTTCTCCAACTATTAGCTAGCTACTGGACATACAGCTAAGATATTAGGATCTGTTTGCTGCTACCCTCTCTTCTCTGTATCTTCTTCCATGCTCAATTCTGTTGTGCTGATCATATATAGGTTTGGATCCGAATGGTAAGCTTATCGGTCTCGGATCTAGGAACTTTTTCCTCTGCCCGAAAGACACAACCACCACGATCTCTGCCTCCGCCTCTGCCTCTCCCACAACCACAGCCTCCTCCTCCGCTGCTGCTGCTGCTGCACCTCCATCATCGTCTTTGTGCTCCACAGAAGCAGACAAGGCAGCGTCTAAGATCACTATTCCGTGGCTTAGATTCATGGGTTTCTTGTTCTAGACTAGATAGCCATTTATCTACCCAGCAAAGGAGCCACCTAACTAGCTCCATCAATTAGTAAATACTCCTCTGTCATTAATTACATCATAATAATTATTATTGTATCTGATTATGTCGTTGATTATGTTTTCAATGGAAACATCCTTTCTGTGTGTTACACTTTCATCTGCCAGGGAGGACGTACGCCTACCTTCAGTGTTAGATCGATAAGATGATCATGTACACAATATTCTCTATTAGGCTTGTCAGAAATTAACATTAAAGGTTCCCAATCGAACCTCTAAATTATAACATAACATCCTTCATCACATAATGTACTTATTGGTGTTAGAATCGTCTTCAAGAGTTCCATCATACTTTAGATCCAGAAATTCCAGTCACGACTAGGATAAGTTCAATGCCTTCAAAGCCAGTGTCAGCCACTCTAGAGAGACCTATATGGCTATATATCTACTGCTGCTGCTGCAACATCTGAAAGTGATGACCTCCCCTCCACGAATTTCCAAGATTTCTAAATTTGTAAAATAAACATAAGAGTTATTTTAGTATATAGAAAAATTAATAATATTCATGAGATACTAATTGAAGCACAACATCTCAAAAAACGCTATTAGAAGCTAAGCAGGGAGCAATTTGACATGAAAACAATTAAATGTCAACCGACATTATTCATGCTCTTTTTATTTAGTTATATAATTATAGAATGCTGCTACGGGGACCCAAAATATGGGACTAAGGGAGGAGACATGTGAGGTGTCCCCTCCATTGGTCCCATATTTCTAATAATTAATGTTTGTGGGAAAATTTGTAATAAGAGAATAAGGAAAGAACTGTATTTGATTTTATTCTCTCTAACTGCTTAGAAAAAGAATGATTACAACTCTCTCAACTCTCGATTACAATTGGATTTCCGATTACAAAAGAGAAGAGAATGATCTGGATTCTCTCCTTTGTTTAATTCTGAGTTCTTCTTGGTAGCTATGAGATGCCTCCCTCGAATGCTTGCGTCGAGTTTGCTTCTCGTTGACGATCCGAATATCTATGCTCACTGGAACCACTGTCTTGTCTGGTTGATAACTCTTGACGAATTTTGTGATTCAGAACAAGCAACAAACTCTAATAATAGTAATAGAGTTGTTTGAACCGAAAATGATTCGGTTAATAGGCCAAGTATCGAAGATCTAGAGCTCCTCCGTTTGTTGATTCCCCAGACTGTGTAAGGAGTTGATCCTCTTTTCTCTGATTCTGAAAAATTCGATCAAAGATCTTCCCCAAGATCCGATCTCTCAAGAATCCTCTCCAAGTGATCCAGCATCCCCCCTTTAACTCTGTTGAGTTTGTTGATATTTATAGGGAGATTAGGAGTGTAACTGACCCCTTAATCCGCTCCTAAATGATAGGTTTAATTACCTCATTAGTTGGTTGTAACAACCCATTAAAACCACTCCCCAGATCGTGGGTGATCAGCGGTCTTTTCGTAACCGTATGGGTTGTGTTTGAATGAATCAGGAGTTTGATCTGCGTTCTGGCATGTATTCTATGTTTGAACGCAGTATTTGGAAGTGTGTTCTGCAGCATTGTGAAGTTGCGTTGTGCAGCGACTTGGAGCTGCGTTCTGCGGCTGATTGGAGCTGGGTTTGAGCAACTGTTTGGACTGCATCAGGCAACGATCGGAGCTGCGTCTGGTGGCGATTAGAGCTGCGTCTAGCAGCGATTAGAGCTGCGTTTTGAGCTGTGCTTGGCAGCGATTGGAGCTGCGTTTGAGTTTCTCTGTCTTTATATATGGATGACACCGATGACTAGTAGAGAAGGTCATATTCAGGCCATTTGTGACAATTGAGGCATCTTAATAACGCTCTATCAACTGCAGGTCACGATCTCCACTAAGATTTCTTTGCATGGTTTAACCATGTGCTCCTCAGTGTGTCGAATATCATTACACTGCTCATCAGCACCTCTAATAGTTGCTAATATAATATTAGTCATGTTGTTGTCGCAGCCATCAAGATCAATCATCTCACATAAGAAGCTGCATTCGTGTTCGCAGCGGTTGAAGCTGCGTATGTGATTGAATTGGTGTCGTGTCTTGACAATGGTACGCAGGGAGGACTTCCACGTCTTGGTTTGAAGAGATCGTTGATTTGTAATCTCTTTCAGTCAGAGCGTTGCTAAAGATCGTCGTTTTGTAATCTTTGCTTTAGCTCTTTGATATGTGAAAGTTTTCAAATTGTAGCCTTCTGGAAGTCGTCAGATTGTAACTTCCATCATCGGTGTTTGATGGTAGCCTTCTGGAAGTCGTCAGATTGTAACTTCCATCATCGGTGTTTGATGGGAAATCAGCTATCTATTATTATTTTTAGACAGCCTACAGATTGTAACTTCCATCATCGGTGTTTGATGGGAAATCAGCTATCTATTATTATTTTTAGACAGCCTACAATTAAACACCCAGATCAAATGGAATACCAGTCGCAGGCAACCATCGTCCTCCATCAATAAACACCGCAACTCAAAATGCATTCACTTGTTCACCTTTTTTCGGGGTCCTACCATTTGAATCCTGGCCACATAATTCGGCACTTGCTTTCCTCTCCGGGCATGCAATTGATTTTCGCATGGCCATCCCCAGTGTTTGCATACTCACGCGCGATACACTCCGCACTTCTACTCCTCCCATCCCGTTCAGTGCATTCTTGAACGTCATGCATTTGCCTTTGAAATTATCTGCTTTTACAACTGCAATTAATAAAATATTAAGCATTAGACAACCAACATCCTGGAATCCACCGAGTTAATTAAGGAAATGAACAAATCATCAATTTTGATATGTTGATTGTTATTGCAATGTAAAAATATCAACAATAGACAAAATTTTCCTCTCCAAATGCAAAAAAGTTGGTGATTTGTTGGTACCGATTTTCACCATAAATTTGATAATTTGGAGGTAGATTTGCAAATTAGGAGATTTGATGGGTTATTTTGCAAATACTTATGCTTCAATGGTTACATATACAATATAACCCAATAAATAAGTAGAATTTTACTCACTGACTGCACCAGAGTGGTCAATGAGAAAACCGCCATCCTCTGCATACCCTCCCTTTACGTAAATTGTGTATCTTCCCTTGCTGTCCTAGGAATCGTGTTAACTGCTTCGGTGAGAGTCATGAAGTTGTTGGTGCCATCTTTGGAGACTAGTCCAAAGAGGACCTGATACAACAACTGGTTGGAACCGTTGGAACTAATTAGGCCTAACGGTTTAATCCGCTAGGGCATCCACGGTTAGAGCTAAAAAAATAAAAGAAAAAAGAAAAAAGAAAAAAGAAAAATCCCCCTATTTTTAACCTTAAAAAAAGAGGAGGGGGGATCAATCCCCCCGGCTCTCTCTTCCATTTACCGTGGCCCTATAGAGCATCTCCAAGAGACTCCCAAGGAGGCTCCTAAAGGTAATGTGGCAAAGAAAAAGCTCCTAAGATGCTCCAACAAACTCTCAATCAACCTCTTAAGTCCTAGTTGGCAGTGAGCCCCACCATGAAGCTCCACAAATTTGTGAAGCACATGGGAGCTCCTAAGGGGTGAGGGCTCACTAAAAATTATTTTTTATTAGATTTATTATTTTAAAATATATTTATAAAATGTTATTTTTAAGAGAATAGATTTTTTTAATAATATTTGAACTTCTAGTTGAGAGTTTATTGGAATATTTCTCCTATTAGGAAGCTTCTAAGTGTACCCCCATGCTGAGAGCACTTCAACGAGAACTCTCCCTGCTAGGAGATTGTTGGAGATGCTCTAAGATCCTCCTCTCAAATCCCCTCTCATAAACCCTAATCTCCCAAATTTCCATCTCTCACAAACCCTAATCCCTCTCCACATCCTAATTTGATGCCGGAGAACCGCATGCCGGCGTCCCCAAGATCCTACACTGCTTCCCTTCTCTCATATTCCTCTCATCCCCAACCACACGTCGACGACGACCTCTCTCCGTCAACCTCTCCAGCGCGCAATCTATGCATGCCTTCCCCAAATCTTCAAACCCTAACCCCCAACCCCCCGGGTCTCTGATCCCTAATTCGTCACTCTGCCGTCCCAATTCGTTGCTCCTTTTTCGTCACCTAAACCCTAAAGCAACTCCTTCCAACAACGCTGCAGCCTCCAGAAACCACTAGCATCCCCAACCTGATTTGTTGCTCCTCCTTGTCACGCCTCCTCTCAGGCATCTCCGACGGCCATCTTCAAGAGTGCGAACATGTGGGGCCACCCCCACGTTGAGAACGCGTGAAGAGTTCACATTTTGAGAACGTGTGGGGCCACCATGTTAAGAACGCGTGAAGAGATCAAGTTTTGAGAACGCGTGAACATCAGCGAACCAGGCCCACCCGGGATTCTCTGCTATATATAGCCTTTATTCTCTCCTAGGGTTTTTTGGTGCAAGATTGAGCAGAGTGAGGAAAATCATTGGCGGGCATGCAAGCAAAGAGGAAAAGTTAACAGAGGGTTTTGCGGCTGTGTGCAGGTGCGAAGGCGGTTTTGTTTTTTGGCCTAAGTTGTTTTCGACAGAAGCTTTTTGGGGCTTCGTGCGGGTAAAAAATCGCAGACTAAGGAGAGCTTTTGAGAGGGTCTTTGGGATCCCCTTTGTGAGAGGTTTGAGAGATTGTGTGAGGGTTTAATTTGTGTGATTGTAAACCCTAGTTGTATTTTCTCCCTCTAATAGTAGATCTCCCCCTTCCTTACCCCGTGGACGTAGGCAATTTGCCGAACCACGTAAAATTAGTTTGTCTCGCTTTTGTGTGATTTGTAATAGCTTATTTAGGTTCCCTCGACAGGTCAGTCCTAGAACTGATGAGATGAAGAGTTGATACTTTGTTGAGATATTTTACTTAAGGTTCTTGTTTCCTTTGTAAAACAGGAATTCCTATTGCGACCTAACTCTCTTGTTGTGTTGTCGAAGTGCTGCCGAAATTTTCGCTGCGCGTAACAAGTGGTATCAGAGTACAGATTTCAGATCTAGGGTTTTTGGAATTAGGTGGAGGAAGATTATTGTGTGAAGCTTGGTTCTTGGTTCTTAATTTCTATCTAGTCTAGAGAGATCTATATGGCTATATATCTGTTGTTGCTGCTGCTGCTGCAACATCTGAAAGTGATGACCTCCCCTCCACGAATTT